AAGTGTCCAGTAAATGAAGATAGGAGTTTTTAAAGAATTTTTAAAACAGAAAAAAATGATAATTATTCCACCCCAGCATCATCAACATTGATATAACTACAACCGGCGCGAAGTGGTTAAAGCCAGACATCAAGTTGACTCATGTATTTGGGCAGGCGTTGGTCAGTGGTATATCAGACGAGAACTATTCAATTCAGTTTGTGAAGGTTCCCAATAGCCAGCCTGAAAATATGATGTTGTTTTGGTCAGCTGAACAGAATTGTACAGATTAATTCTCATGAGTTGAAGTACATGGCATATTCAAAAGGAAAATTCTGAGCTGCAGGGTTTTCGTTTGATCCTTGGGAAAGCTTCAGTGCTGTCTGCTAATAGGGCAGTTGCAGTAATTTACATTTTTATGTGAAACACTGCAGCTGTCAAAAAATTTACTTTAAGTACACAATTTTGATACCTGTGCAAATAAAGCCTGGTTCCCACATTGACATAGATAGATGCAGACAGCTTTGCCTGATAATCCTCCAGTGTGATGAAGTCATATGGGAACTGCTTTATGGCAACAGACACAAACCACAGAAACAGATAATCAAGACTGGATAGAGTTTAATTTTGCTGACTGTCTGCATGTACAGTCATTTCCAAAAGTTTCAGGCCACCTTGAATTTTATTGGTATTTCTGTCACTGGGCCGGCATTACACTGTCTCACTGAATGATTACTTAACATGATTTTACAGTGGTGCATAACATCAGTGTAGTGCTATATACCCATTTGAATGATTGTTTTTGCAAAGGCAGGTCTTGTATGACATTTTGTCTGCAAGGCAGCATGCGTAAAAAAAGCCAGTCTAAGCAATCAGAAATAAGGGAGGGGACACTGTTAACATGTCAAATCATGGAAATGTAGTAAAAAAGTTTACTCAAAGTACCAAGGTTACACACTGAAAATAAACATAAGTTGCCATGATTGATTGGTTTAAGTTTGGTTTTCCTTCAGGTTAATGCATTTTCTATGGATGTTCCTAAACTTTGGCAAATGACTGTAGTCATTAGAGAAGGCCCATATAAAATCCCACGCTGTCATGACAGGGTGTAATGATGTCCTTTTCCCTTGAGTAATGCTTACTTGGTCCATTTTCTCATGTCAAAGAAATGAAACCCCAATTGCCATCAATACAGCTTACCAAAAAATATGACTTCCTCCAATTGTGGAATTAGTTCAGCTTCAAGGAGTGGCATAACCCCCTGAAGAGGCATTTCATACAAAAACGTTTTAATTTTGGGATACTTTTATTGTGAGCTTTTTGCCAAATGACATCACATTTCATATCTTATGGGACAGTCTGCCTGTAGACATCTTGACTGATTTCAGCATTTTGTACAACCAAATGGAAACTAGGCTTTAATCAGGGGAAATCAAGATATGTGTATTAACAAACAGTGGTCTGACTTGTTAGGAGCAACAACAGAATTAATTTGTCATGCACCATTTGCTTTAAAGGCCACTTTGAGTGTGAGGCTGATTTATCACCTGTATGGGCATCCCTTTTTCCTTATGTGTCTCATTTCCAAACTAATCCTATTTTGGGCTCCCAACCCAAGAAAAAAATGGGCGATCTGTTTTATTTGTCTGACCCTGTCTGAAATACACCAACTTGTCAAAGATTAATTAATTTTTTCTTGGATGACATCAAGTCATGGTAAAACTAAATGAAGTAAATAGAGCAAGCGACAACACACACACACGTTAAATCAAATAACCATCTGCACAGGTGCAACTGCAAATTGTTTTTTTTGTCTTCAGATTTCATGTTTTTACTGACTGTATTCAGGAGATTTTTTTAAAGAAAGCCGTCAAACTTCACTGGAAAAAAATCAAAGTTGTATCGCACATATCTCCGACAACAAATGTAGAATATTAGTTTTATAAGCCTGAAGAAATTCTCTTCATCAGTTTGATGGGTGGTTTATCTTGTACATTTGAATTTTTGATTGCAGCAAACAGTGCAGTCTCAAACACAAAAGAAAGTTCTATGCCACAGTGAATGGAAAGCTCCATTCCACGGGCACACAGTGTCTGACCTTGGAGGTGATGCAGGTATTTGTGAGATGGGAATTGTTTGGGATTTATTCAGTTGACGCTGGGACTTTACCAGGATATATTCAAGTGTTTGCCTCAAGGTGTCACATTTGTGGAATGGAAAGGCCTTCAGTCAGGGATGGATACAACTTTCCATTTCTCCTGTTACCTCATGGAATTATTCTTGCCATTGCACTCGTAAGTATTCATTATTTGCATGCTGTGAAATGAACTTGCTTTTATATTGTAATCTAAAGGTATGCACTTTCTCATAGCATTGGGTGATCTTTGTTTCGATCATTATAAATGCATGTTTGTTTTATCTTTACTTTTTGTAATGAGAACTGAAAAATTTTCCGTACTTCATAGCACACGCTAGGTCAATTAAAATGATTGTATTCTTGTTAAATGTACGCAGTCCTGTATTTCTTTATTTTTGATAACTGCTGAAAACAGTCGGCTGTGAAATACACTAGCATCTTTGGAGATCGATCGCTATTTGAAAAACAATGCTTCCACTCCATTTTAAGATAGAGCAATCTTGAGGCCAGTTTTGTCCAAATTTGTCAGATTTATATGATGAGCTTTAGGTCCTGTTCATGGCTTTTATTACCGCTTTTATTACAAACTCAAGTCCTGCAAATCAAATGCAGTAATACCCAAAAAGTTTAATACAAGTTGTGAGTTATCGGGTATTTAGACTAATAGGAGTCAAAATTCACATGATTTTCTAGCCTGCAATTTCAACTGCGACCTTGTTAACCACGTGACCACGGCGATTCGCGCACCGACGATCATCGAACTACATAGGTTTATATAGGGCACACAGTCTGCAGACGCCTGCTGTGGGCACATGTACATGTACGTCGGGTTTGACATACAGGTGCTGTACCCACTCGGGTCGACCGTAGATGGGAGGGGTACACATAACATTAACGGTATCCGTCAATTTTCATAAAGATATGCTGTACGTGCTTTGTGTTTGACTCCACGATTCAAACACTGTTCAGGTTTGCACGTTGCTGATAAAACGTGTTTATGCTAAGAGCAGCGTGCATCAACTTCCGCTCGCGAAATACCAAAGAATCGGCGTTCATCATCTATTCTGTTCTCTTTTATCGAATATGAAAGAGCTTCATCCAAACCAAGGTGCAGTATGGTCAGAAGTCTTTGGTATCGAGGCACACAGTTTGTGTATTGTAAGTACACAGTCATGCGCACATGACTTGTGAGACTTTGGCAATAAATATGTATCCGCAAAATTTGCTGTCCAACATTAAGGCGCATGTGCCTTCCTCAGATCACATGCATGGCAGTAACTATAAATAGCCAATCAGCGCAATCCCTGTAAGGGTACAGACTGAATGACGATGAATAAGCAGGGAGCACATAATATCAGACCGACAAAATGCTAATTTACCAGGGCTGCTGCGTAATTTTTGCTTCCTGAAAATCCCGGATGGGGTTCGTCATGAGTTCGGCTTTATATTGGGGCAGTTGCAGTGACCTAGCTCTGCCTGGAGCTAGCCGATCAGCCTGTGACTCTCCTCCACACTACAACCATCATGGAGTCCACCCGCACACCCGGCAAACTCCTGGCATCTATAGGCTTTCTCCTGCTTTTGTTTTATTCGCACCCAGCAAATTCTTTTACTTTCACAAAAACGGATTCGTCGTTTGTGAGTTTCTATCCTGACTGGCTGCCTTCATCCAAGCAGGGCGCGTCTTTCCGATTCAAGACCCTCGAGTCAGACGCCCTACTGTACCTTCACCACTACTCCAACAAAACCGACAATGAACCGTCCTATCTCTTTTGGATTGAACTACGACACGGTGAACTACTTGCGAGTCATATTCTTGATGGTCACATGGAAAAGTAAGTTACAAAAATCTTTTAGGTGATGTAGATTCATGAATTCTGCGTTATATGACAAACACATTCAGTCGGAGGTTGCGTCTATTGGTGACCAAGTTATGCATGAAAAAGAAAGTTTTGAACCTCGGCAGAATCTGTCTCCATCGACCTTATTTTCCGATGTCGTTGCAATGCCTATTGTTTCAAGCTGAGACTTCCAAACGTTTTCCTGTATTATCCATCAGTGTCATGTTGGTACAAAATCTATGAAAGTTTGACCATTATGTACGTATTGTCCCAAGATGCCAATTTTCCTGAGACAAATAATAAGTTTTCCCATTCACATGCGTACGCGAGGGCATAAAATAATTGTAAGTAACCATAACTACAAAACCTTTGTCGGTTGTGATGGAAAGCTTGCGGTAAGCACCATGCAATATCTCTTTTTGAGTTCTGTATGGTTCTGTGAATTCAAAGTTCACATTCTTGGGACCAACCAACCGCATCACAGCCTGTGTC